TTGATTTCATAACTCTACTTAGATTCAACATACATGATTGGAGAAAAAATTAAAAAGGAAACCCGAGTGTGCGATTTTTCTATACACGCCAACAGCTAACTTATTACCTTTTTTGCTCACTAATACTTCCAAAAAAGCCAATTTATTTTCCTCTCTAACTCCGTGGTAAACTTAGTATTTGCATCTATTCTATTGATTGGCTCAAGAATTCACCCAAACTATCTTTGCCATGTTGTCAAAACGGCAAAGTAATCGTCCATGTAGAAATGAAGGAGCATATCTCAGAGGTACACCACGAGGGGCGTTAAGTTCATTTTATAGACCTCCTCGAAATCCACTTGGCTGCGCCAATCGAGATCGGGTAACAATATCTGTTGGCCGCCGATTCAGGGGTTAAGTAGGTGTTTGACTGTAGTTAGACATGCCTAAAAAGATAGATATTACCCAATTTGTTCATGTAAAACAGACAGGAGCAGAGTGTGCTCAGTCGTATTCCGAAACGGGCAATCCATCCTCAAACTAGCTCCTATAGATGAAGCCAGACTCAGGATCCTAGAGAACTAAAGATAATGGGGTGAATGTAGGAAAGAAGATAACTGGGACAAAGGGTCTCTGGAGTCCAGGGAGGCTGTAAGTGCAAAAATCCCCGTTTTTACAGCGGCCCTCACTAAGGCTTTCAGTCATGTTCCATCATATTGTCTCCTTGAATTTGACGTAAACGTTGGGCGGAATCGAATGCCAATATGCAATGAGTTAGACAGCGATTTTTATATGGATCAGGGAAGAGTTGACATTTTGAGTTTAGAAAGTGGCTTCATGGAGGTGCTGATTGGGTCAACGGCATCTGAAACCGGTATTAAGCTTATTAAGTCTCACTAAATCCACTTGAATTGACATACCCCTAGGCCGAAGCAGACAGAGAGAGGGCCACATAAATGGTAAATGTTGTACATGAAGTGAGGTTGAGGGAAAGGTATGCAGCGCTAGGGGCTAGGACAGGCTGAGGATAGATGCTACAACGAGGTCACGAAGTAGGATAAACGTGTGAGGATGTACCAAGCCAACGGTGCGATGTTGCGAAAGCAAGGTCTAACCAACATCATAAAGCTAGATAAGACTGCAACCAAACTCAGGGCCATAACAATTTAGTCTTCGCTTCTACGTTTTAAGGGAATTTGAGTTTTTATTCAAAACCTACGATAGTTTCAAAGCCTACTGAAGCAAAATGTATTATTGCACAACTGAGATAGTTCAGGTCATTTGATGTAGGAACACAATGTACCATATTAGACAAACTGTATGTAAACCTTAGCTCCTCCAGCTCCGAGGAAGAATAATAGAAAAAGTGAAGGATTAGTATTGACGCAAGACGAACAATAGTCAAGACTATCCTCTACGAGATTAAGTTGGGCTGGATAGCATAGTATTTAGTCATGCATGGACGGATAGACATTGACGCACACACATAT